ATGTTAACACAGGGAACCAATGGGCAGACTTGTTTACTAAAGGGTTAAGTCGGGGAAGAGTAGACTACATATGTAACAAGCTGGGATTATATGATATATATTCTCTAACTTGAGGGGGAGTGTTAGTGTCGAATATGTAGGGGTATTTCTGTCTTTATACTTATGTTTATGTGCTGATGTGTAAGATTATGTTTTAGTGTCCCTTACTTGAGTAGGGACACATGTGTCTTTTCCACAATATAAGTAATATAAATCAATTCTGGCCGAATGGGAGAGTGATCTTTTTCTCTCATTCAAACCAGTTCTTTCTCTCCCTTTCTTCTCTTCTCTTCTTCTTCTCTCTCTCTCTCTCTTTCTCTTCCTTCTTCTTGACTGTTATCAGCTTAATAGGATTCAAGGGCAGGCCGAATCCTAATAAGAACCTATTTTGATATCAAGTTGTGAAACACACCTGCAAAATAATTCAAAAAATATAGAAAAAAGAGAAGAAAAGAAAGAAGGAAGAAAAGTTTAAGCATAAGTTTGTGAAAGAAGAAGGAAGAAGAAGAGAAGGGAAGAGAGAAGAGGAGAGTTTAGTCCTTTCTCTAGCATCCCCAAGATATCTTTTATTCTCTTAATTCTAAATTGAGTACAATTCCCTAGATGCCCTTAATGGGGTGGCCAGCACTAAAGAGTTAATAAAACAAAAAGAGGTCCATAACTGAAAAAACATAAACTTAAAACATAACTTAAAAGAAATAAAACACTAAGGCCCATTTGGCCCATTCTCACTACAGATTACATCTTGAAAAAGAGAAAAATAGCAGGAAATTTTTTTGGGCAAACTGCCCTTGGCATGATGTCTTTTCCAATTGCATTGACAAAAACACCCTCAAGTGATTTATAAAATAACACCCTCAAGTGGCATCTATTTGATTTTCTTTTGCATTCCCCTATATAATTTTTTGCAACTTGCAACCACAAATATTGTATATTGCACTTACTTTAGTGGCTTGCCCTGGGGTTTTATCTTAAGATGATTATCTTGTTTGAATTTGATTGTAACAATTTGTGCACATATATTTACTTATTACACTAGTTTAGACACCGTTTTTTCCCTAACTTTTCTATAAAATGCCGTAAAATTGGATTTTGTGGATCATCAATAGAGTAAATACTTTGCATTTTTTCCATTAAAGGTAATGGGAGGAGATCCCCTTTTGAAGCTCTTAGCAGTTGATTGGTTGAAGGCTGATAGTAACATTGATAGGGTCGCTCTGTATCCTAAATGTCTTGTTCAGGTAAAATAGAACTTCTTTACCAACTTCAATTAAGTTAGTAAGTTTGCTTATATTCAGTTAAGCAACTTTATTGTTTATGTTCTTTGTATTCCATCCTTCCACTTTAATTTGAATCATCCTTTTTATATAGAAATTAACGTTTCTCATTTTTCTATTTTTTAACCTTTTGGTTTGATGCATATGGAGATGTAATAACTAATAATTGACTATATCTCAGATATGTTATAATTGGCTACTCAAGAGTAATTAAATATACAGAGTTGGTATGATCTAATGTTAGGAATTGACATAATTTATTGGATTTGGATTTATTTTATTACGATATTTTTTTGGAAAATTGAATGTGATTTTTTCTTGTCATTGGATCTTAGTTATACCAGGAAGAAAGAAATCAATTTGGTTTAGGAGGGTTTGGGTGGAAACAAATGACAAAATTCTGTGTGTGTATTGTAGGATCTGTTTGAGCTTTTCACTTTTTCCCTCTATTTCAGTTTCTTTTAATTTAATTTGGGGGAATCCTAATTCCTTGTCTAATATTTTCGTCTTAATTTCAGTCAGAAGCTGGAAAGAAACTTCCATTCATTCTGGTCATTAATTTACAGGTATGTGAAAATATCTTTTGATCCCAGCCCATCTCTTGTTATGTCATAGTGAGTTGAGAGACCTTTTATGTGCATTGTATATATCCGTATAACTTCAATTACATAAACCAATAACATGACATTGGTTTATGTGCATTGTATATATCCTTACAACTTCATAAGGGTAATTCATCATTTGAAATTTTCAATGTTGATCAGATGATTGTAAGTTATTAATTAGGTTATTGTTAGCATTTGTTTGGAGTTTAAAAAATAATGTAATAAACAGGTTAACAAGTTATAGTGTTTTTTTCTTATTTGGGTATATAGTGGCAATTTTATAAGTATGGTAAATAGTGGTCTAATAACCCTAGTTACCTATATGCCTGTGTGAATGTCGGGAAAATGACCCCAATTGTTCACTTCATGGCCAAACAGATGGAGTCACCACCCATCATAAACAAATAACTGGGAGTGATGGGCCTCCCAGAATTGTATTCGGTAAAACATTTCGGAACTGATAGTGACTCCATACCGCCTGGTCGAGACAAGGCTATTCTGGGTAAGTCGAGAGAGAGAGAAGAGGGAAGGGGTTAGGCACCCCTCTCTCTGGTTAGTATGAATGCCGATTTCCCTATCTGCCTTTAGATTTGATGTGAGAATCCAGGTTCCCAATGATTTAAGAGAACTTGGGAGCTTCTCTCTTCCCCTCCGAACCAACCCCCTTTTGGACGTAAGGGGTTTGAGCAAAAGGATGAATTCTCACCCCTTTTCTATTAGACCCCCACCGACCTTTGGACTTAGTCGGTTGGTTCCAAGGGTGAAAAGAAACGCTTCAAATCCTCTCAAATGAGGTTCTTATATTCAAACTCGAACTTTACACAAACACCAAAATAATAGAAAAAAAAACGACCTACAGCGGCATTAATAGACCAAGCTTCGTATAAAGATAAATGAGATGAGGTAAAATATTTTACCTCTTGTAACCTGAAACTCGCTGGTTTGGGAACTTTTGCTGGAACAGGGGAGTTGTTGATTTCCGATTACCTTCTCGAACGGCAATGGTGACTGAAGTTATACCTTAAGATGTTGATGAAAAGTGAGGTGATTCCAGTGCAGGCTTCACCTGAACTTGAGAGGAATACTTCCGGTAGAGTTTACTACAACCGACTCGCTGCTGCGTCTTAGCTTGAAGACGATGAACAGTCTCCGAACAGTAGCCCCCCTCTCGATTCTCTCTCTCTCGAAACTCTCGAAACTCTCAAAACTCTCGGCTCTTGCCCGACCCCTTTACTTGAAACTCTCTGGTCTCGCTCTTTCTCTCTCTCTCAAAACTCTTAGTTCTTGCTCTTTCTCAAATTTTGAAGCTCTTGGCTCTCGCCCAACCCCTTACTCAAAACTCTCTACTCTCGCTCTTTCTCAAATTTCACCCCATCCGCCCCAATTCTCTAATTCTCGACCCCTATTCTCTTCAAAAACTCCTCCCCTTTCTCTTGGGAATGGTGCCTCTATTTATAATGGAGGGTAAGGGAAGGTTCTGTCAATTCTCAAAAATGAAAAGGGGTTTTAGGTAAGTCAGGGTTAAAAGGGATAGGAGGGTTCAATATTTGGGGTTCAAAGAGTAATTTAGAAATTTATGGTAATTTGGGGTGAAGGGCATTTTGGTAATTTTAGGTTTAAAGGGTATTTTGGGGATTTAAGGAATGAGTGCTATCTTGGGAACTCAGACACAATGAAGGTATTTGGGAATTTGAAATAAAGGGGTAATTTTGGAATTTTAGGGTATGAAGGGCATTTGGTCAGGGGCAGTGTTTTAAAAGTGCAAGGCACAAAAAAAGTGCAAGGGCCAATTTGTGCTTGAGGCGCAAGGCGAGGCGCGCGCGCAAAATTACAAAAAAAATAGCTAAAAAATAAAAAAGAGTCAAAAAATTCAAAAAATGCGAAAAAAATTTAAAAATGCAAAAAATATTAAACATAATGTTAATAAAAAATATAAACATAAATTTTAAAATAAATGTTTTAAAAAACCAATTATCTAAATTTAAAATACATAAAAATAACATGTAAAGCGTATTCAAATGAAAATTTAAAAATAAAAGCAAACATATAAAGCATTTTCAAGCATGTAAAACCCACAATCTCATTTTTTCCTTAATTGCATTGCTTCAAGTAGCTAATGTGATGTAAAACATATTGCATTCTTGATTCTCTGAGTCACCTTTGTACCACGCCCCTCGAGGCAAGCCCGAACAAGTCTATGTTAGGGTATGAAATTCTTATTTCTCACATGAAAGGGGTGCACCTAGGACCTGGGTGAGGCGCATACCCCAAAATGTGCCTCACCTGTGTGCCTAGGCGCGCCCTTTAAATCATTGGTCAGGGGGTATTTTGGTAATTGGTCCAAAGGGGGTATCTTTGGGAATTTGGTTAAGAGGGATATTTTGGGAATTTGGTTCAGTGGGTATTCTGGTAATTTGGAATGGGAGATATTTTGGGAATTTTGGCTTTGAAGGGTATTTTGGGAATTTGGTTAGGGGTATTTTGGTAATTTGGTTGAGGCTTGGAGGTTGAGGCTTTGGGGGTATTAGATGAGATTAACAATGGGTTGTGAGGATTTGGAGGTTGAGGCTTGTTTTTTTTTTGGATTTTGTAGGTCTCAGAGGGGTCAGAATGGTTTGATCGGGTGTTTGAGGTGAATTGAAGGTTCCAGCAGAGGATCGAGCAAAAATCGAGTGTTGACAGCTTGTTATCTTTTCTATTTGATGCAGAATAGAATTAGAAATTTGGCTTTTTTAAGCTCTAGAGCTTGTATTGGTGTTCTTTCCTTAAACAATAATTCTCCTTCTACCATCTCTTTTATTATTCTCTCTTCTTTAGTTCTTCTCTTCTATAGCTTTGGTCCAAATATAGACTCTAGCTATAATTCTATCCATTGGAAGGCATCAACTTTATTAATTTAACCTGGCTTCAAACTTCAAGTTAGTTTTTCCACCCTTTCTTCAACTTAGAGGGAGTTATCGGGATTAAAACCTTTTATAGAACTTTTCCATAAAATAGTACATTTTGCAAATCAGATTTCAAATACAATTGAAATCCACTGCCGACAGTTTTATGTTTCAATCAGAGAGAGTGTAAACCCTAATATTCACTTTGCCTAACAAAGGGGTCAATCCAATCACTATGATCACCCACTTAAGTAATTTCCTAAACTGCCCCAACATGCCCAGATATTTGATCCTTAATGGATCATCAAAGACAGTTTAGTCCAAAACCTAGTGTAGTAGTGTCATAATCAAGTCTGGGGTTAAGTGCAACATTCTAGTTTTTCCCATCTATCTCCAAGGTCCAGGGCACAATTGGAAATTGGTCTAAGTTCGGTGCTTCTTCCAAACACCCACTGGTTGTGCTTGGGATCTAACCCTAGCAGCTAAGACAAGCTACTCCACCAATTTGGTCGCACACTAGTGTCAGTCTTGTCAAGATAAACTCCCCAAGTCTATCCAATGGCTGAGAACATTTTAAACTAACAAGTGTAATCATGAAACAATAAAGTACTCATATTTTTTATAAATGTTTGTGTACATCAATCTGATTGGAGCTAAGGGCATACAGTGTCTAACACATAGTCCCTTTTGTACAGTATCATGTCTTTGTATTTTTTTGTATTTGTTCTTTTTTCTCTTTTAGCCCTTTTATGGGCATTTCTATAATTGTACATAGCATTCTAATCTGATAGAGGCTCTTTGGGGTGGGGGTCGACTATTCCATTGTTACCCTGAAACTATTTGTCTTCCTTTTTGTTTGAACCCTCTTGTTGACAGAATCAACTTGGAAATATAAGATCTTGAGGAAAGATGCTGAATATGACTTCACCTGATCTGAATGATAAATTTGAAATTTTTTTTTCCTAGGATTTTGAGGATAGAAGTTAGACTTTGGAGGCAAATATAACTGATGTGTAGTTAATGCAAGAAATTCCTCAAAATAGCAATCTCGTGGAACAGTAAGATCTACTCACCAGTATTCTATGGTAAAACAAGAACAGTTGATAATACTGTCCATAGCTGTCTATGGAGACAATATGAAGAACTTCAAAGCTTTATTGTGTGAATCAGAAATGTGAACAATAAAAAGAGAAGTTGATAATACTATCCATAGCTTTCTATGGAGAAAATATGAATAACTTCAAAGCTTTATTGCTTTAATTAGAAAATTGAACAATAACAATAAGGTGAACTGTGCATGAACATGGTTGAGCCAACTTTAGGAGCTTTTATAGTCACCTAAAATCCTATAGAGCTCTTGATTGAACTCCCTAAACTACCTAGCTCCCTATAGTTGGGTCATCTATTTTACTAATTTAGTTCTTGGTTTTGTAATGTCATTTTGGATAGTTTGACTTCGTCTAGGGTTGTTTTGAATTAGAAAAAGCCATTCTTTAGTTATTAATTAACTTTGATTTCTAATTCATATTTGTTTTCTCCTGTAATTCCTAAGTATGTTACCTTGCTCATGAGGTGGTTTCTTAGTACATATATGTACAAACTCATTATTTGTGGTCTTTTGAGGGAGAAGAAGTTACAATTATTGGTCATTGCAACTATGAGTGGGAATTCTCTCAATTCCTATTGAACTTGTGCACTATATTCCTCCTGGTTGTGATGCCCAGAACTCTTTTAGAGGGATTGTAGAGTGACCCTTGTGGAGTCTATACTTCCCTAACCCCAAGATGCAGCAAACTTAATTCAAATCTGCATAACCTACCAAAAAAGGTACTGCATGATTTCCTTTAATTGACCTATACTGCTACTAATTTGAATTGGTTATAGTGCTTAATTGAGAAGAAAAAAACATCTTTCTATCCTTTTCGAAGTAATGGGAATTGGGATGCAAAGTAAGTTTCCTCCCATCATTGGGATTACTTTGAGGCCCACTAGTAGAAAGAGTTAAAAGGGAAGTTAACACGTAACTCCTATTTACCTAAAGTGGACAAGCTAAATTTAATTAATGGTGTCTTCTCT